GAACACTGAGCTGTAAAACACTCCAGTCGGTCGCAACATATAGGTAGTCTCCCTGAAATACAACACACTTATATTATAAGACCATAAGTGTCTCTTACACAATAGTGGCATACAGTGTATCCACTACACTGAAGAACACTGAGCTGTAAAACACTCCAGTCTGTCGCAACATATAGGTAGTCTCCCTGAAATACAACACACTTATATTATAAGACCATAAGTGTCTCTTACACAATAGTGGCATACAGTGTATCCACTACACTGAAGAACACTGAGCTGTAAAACACTCCAGTCTGTCGCAACATATAGGTAGTCTCCCTGAAATACAACACACTTATATTATAAGACCATAAGTGTCTCTTACACAATTTTAGCATACAGTGTATCCACTACAGTGAAGAACACTGAGCTGTAAAACACTCCAGTCTGTCGCAACATATAGTAGTGCAGTCAGTTAGCACTTTAATTGCACTTGCTATATATACGTCACCATTTTATGACCAAAGTATCATTAATACATATATTTTTGATATCTACCGAAGTGGTGTTAAAAAGTAGCCCCAGTGGATAATAACAGGGCTCGAAAATTTTGCATGTTTCCATTGAGTTCAATGTTAATTTATCAATCTTCAAAAGACCCCCTGCAGAGGAGTTCAAGAACAATAAAGTCAATCTTCCTTGTATGTAACCCTGACTTAAATGTCTTCAAAATAAGAAGGGTTACAAGCTGGATCTTGTCTAGTTCCAAAGATATTGGTGTTTGAATTTTGGAAAATTCCCATTGACTGCCATTATAAAGTGCTCTCAATATGCCCTTAGGAAAAATGTTATGGGTATTACCCATAGTGTTATCCATAATAATGGTAATTCATTAGGTCATTTATGGTTTATATGTACATAACCCATAGTGTTACCCATAATGTTACCCATAACCAATAGTTATGGTTAAAACTTACATGTTAAAACAATGATATACTCATAATTTAACATAAGTAGATGTTATGGGCTAAGCATGGTTAGTGACAATGTGTTAATTATGTGTTACCCATAAAGTATGGGTACTCTACACTTTCAGCTTTGTTTTTATTTTTCTGAAGGGGGAGACACCATTCTTAATAGAATGCTCAACAATATGACAAATATTTTCATATCATTTATACCAGTTCAATATATTTCTATATTGTTAGGACCAGGATAACAAACTAAATTATATGTGTGTATTGAGATATAGAATATATTTCAGATAATTTCCAAAAATCTCATTAAACTATTGAACTGTTGTGTTTCTGATGATTGGATACCAATAACCTTTCTTTCAGTATAATTTCATTGAAACAAGCAGTACATGTTTTATGAATATTAACAATTCATGTCTTTCTTATACATTAGAATCTTTACTTTTGAAATTTGGCAGTGTTTGCACAAATTCACCTTTCAATAATTTAGAAATATTTTTTTGACTCGATCGACCCTGGCTATGTCCCTGACTGGTAAAATATGTGTACATTATGTACAGGTTATGTGCATGTTATTTGTAGATAATGGGGGTGAAATGGGGCATTATGTATTAGCAATGTGCAAGTCATGTGTAGGTTATGGGCAAATTATGTGTCCCCATAACATCCACATAAATTCCAAATAACCTGCACATAATGGCATAACGTAAAACCATTATTTACCCATTATAAGTCATTACCAAAAAACTTAGGTTAGATACGGCATCAATTACCCTTACGTTATGGGTACTTGGGGGCTATGGGTAACAATATGGGTAGTTATGTGAAACCTAAGGGTTACCCATAACATTTTTCCTAAGGGTGGCCTTATTAAAGTGTCATTTTTTCCAAAATTCCACTATGGAATTTTTTGATATTGCAGATTTCTATAGCCAATATATTGAATTTTAAAAACCAAACAGGCACATTTCTAAAAATTCATTATTTTTTATATATCTAACCATTGAGTTGCTCACGAAAACTCCCATTGGCTGCCATTATAAAAGCTTTCAACATGGCTTTGCTAATAAAGCGCCATTTTCTCCAAAAGTTCACTATGGAATTTTCTGATATTGCAGAATTCTATACCCAACATAATGACTTTCCAAAATCAAAACAGCCACATTTTTAAAAATTTCTTATTTTTGATATATCTAGTTATTAAGTTGCTCACGAAAACTCCATTGAGTCCCATGTTAATTTATCAATATTCAAAAGACCCCCTGCAGAACAGTTCAAGAGCAATAAAGTCAACCTTCCTGGTATGTAAACATATCTTGCATGTCTTCAAAATAAGAAGGGTTACAAGTTGGGTTTTATCTAGTTCAAAAGATATTGGTGTTTGAATTTTGGAAAATTCCCATTGACAGCCATTATAAACTTCTATCAATATGGCTTTACTAAAGTGCCATTTTCTCCAAAAGTTCACTATGGAATTTTCTGATATTGCAGATTTCTATAGCCAATATATTGACTTTTAAAAAACCAAACAGGCACAATTCTAAAACTTTCTTATTTTTAACATATTTAGCCCTTAAGTTGACCGAAAATCCCCATTGGCTGCCATTATAAACTGCTATAAACATGGATTTACGAATAAAGTGTACTTTTCTCCAAAAGTCCAATATGAAATTTTCTGATTTATAGAAATAGGAAATCTGCAATATCAGAGAAATTCATATTGGACTTTTTGGGGAAAGGACACTGTAGTCAAAGCATATTGATATCAGTTTATAATGGCAGTCAATGAAGATTTTTGTATGTGACTTATGGCTAAATATATTAAGAACAAGAAATTTTTAGGAATGTGCCTGTTTGGTTTTTAAAAAGTAAATATATCAACTATAGAAATCTGCAATATCAGAAAATTCCATAGTGGACTTTTAGAAAAAATGGCACTTTATTAGTAAAGCCATGTTGACTGCGGTTTGTAATGGCAGCCAATGGGAGTTTTCATGTGCAACTTAATGGCTAGATATATTAAAAATCAAAAATGTGTCAGTTTGACTATTTAAAGTCAAAATATTGGCTTTAGAAATCTGCAATATCAGAATATTCCATAGTGAACTTTTGGAGAAAATGACACTTTGGTAAAGCCATATTGATAGTAGTTTACAATGGCGGTCAGTGGGGATTTCCCAAAATTCAATCGTCAATATCTTTTGAACTAGATAAAATCCAACTTGTAACCCTTGTTGTTTTGTAGACATTCAAGTTATGGTTACATACTAGTAAGATTGACTTTATTGCTCTTGAACTATACTGCAGGGGGTCTTTTTGGAGATTGATCAATTAACATGGGACTCAATGGAGTTTTCGTGAGCAACTTAATAACTAGATATATTAAAAATAAGAAATTTTTAGAAATGTGCCTGTTTGGTTTTTTGAAAGTCAATATATTGGCTGTAGAAATCTGCAACATCGGAAAATTCCATAGTGGACTTTTGGAGAAAATAACCCTTTAGTAAAGCCATATTGAGAGTAGTTTATAATGGCAGTCAATGGGAATTTTCCAAAATTCAAACACAAATACCTTTTGAACTAGACAAAATCTCGCTTGTAACCCTTCGTATTTTGAAGACCATTGAGTCATGGTTACATACTAGGAAGATTGACTTTATTGCTCTTGAACTGTTCTGCAGGGGGTCTTTTGAAGACTGATGAATTAACATTGGGCTCAATGGAAATATGCAAAATTCTCGAAGCCTATTATCATCCACTGGGGCCACTTTTTGACACCACTTCGGTGGATTTCATAAATATATGAAATAATGATACTTTGGTCAAAAAATCGTGCCATATATATAGCAAGTGCAATTCAAGGGTTTTATTGTCATAACTGACTGCACTATAGGTAGTCTCCCTGAAATACAAAAATATTATATTTCAACAGAATAAGTGGATGGATTTCTCAATGCGATATTTTCACTTTTTCATTTTCAATTGTTTAATTCCAATAATTTGAAATTGAAGACATCCTATTTTGAGGGATTCTATTCACCAAATCAACATGATGCAAAATGTGTAACTAATTAATTTGATTAACTCTTTTGACCGGTAATTAGCAAATTTGCTACATTGGTAGGATCGGAAATTAATTTTCTGAAAATTATCTACTTTTGACTGATTTTATTCAAACAGTCATAACTTTTTAACTAGCAATCAGATGTTGATGAAATTTTTAGTACATGCTGTTGTTCTACCATTTCAAACCATCAAAACATACAAAGTCTAGCGTATAGACTCGCAGGTCTATCATTGATCATGATATCAATGAGAAATTTAAATAATATTCTATGTAATAATAAAAAAAAATAAAACCATCCAAAAATCCAAATTAAATCATAATTTTCACCTCGTTTCATCAAGTATCGTTTTCACTGTCTACATAATTGAATATTTGATCAAAATTGTCATCAGTAGCCCTAATACATATGAGAGTTCGAGCTCTAGCAGCAGCCATTTTAAATCCCTTTTTCTTTATTTCAGATAATATTAGAGAAAACATCAGTTTATTTTATGAAAAAGTCAAGAAATATCATTAACTTCCTGTTACGTTTATGTTTCGTCCTGTACAACATAATCCACAAGGTTCAACATAGCCTGACATCTATAAATACAACGGAAAACTTATCAGCATAGTATGTGTATAAAAGTCGACTATAGTCTACGTCCCACAGTTACCGATAGGATGCATTAGTCGACTTCCCTGTCAAAAGAGTTAAGCACTCCACCAGCGTTTGTAAGCTGATCAGGGGTCCATTTCTACAAGATCAGAAAACTTATGGATCTGCCTAGTCAGTTGTCTATTTTGCAATCACTGTGTAACATCTAAGGAGAAGTGGTTCTTGAATTTCGATAATGTTTTGGAGAACCTGATTTCTGACTGAAAATTCCTAGATTTTAAAAATATTGTGAAAGGTAAATTTTAATCTAATTACTCAATATTTTCAAGAATTTCAAATTAGCAATATAAGTTCTCTTCAATACTTTCACATTTCATACCGAGATTTTTAAACTCCATATCTTTGTTGACTGGTCTTTATATGGAGTCCACTTTGCGACAACATTGTTTTCACTCTCTCCTCCTTCCAACCAGTGCACAATTTTGTAGATTTCCCCTAACGCTGGAAAAAAGGAAAATTTTCAATCTAAATCTATTCGCATGAGAAAATTGTACTCAGTATCTTTTCATTTTCAATGAGTGAAATTTGGGGATCCTCTCTGGGTAAAAAAGCACTGTTTTGTGGGCTCAGTTTTTCCGTAACAAGTTAAGAATATACTAATATGGACTCAAATGAAATGGATCTGAAAAATAGACAAATTGCAGTTTGCAATTAAACGACCCCAAAAATCATAAAGCTTTTTCAGTCGACTTTCTACAAAAATGTCTAAATCTTTCGGATATCTCAAAGACCTCAATTTGGCAAAAACATTTTTAAAAAATTGACCAAAATATTTGAAAAGTGAAAAAATCAAAAAGACAAAAAAAGATGTGACCATGCACCATAGTTTTGCGAACTGACGAAGTTACTTCATACAAAATGTCTTAACAAAATGATACAAAAACACTTTTGTTGCATACATCAATTTACTCGAATTACAAAGACATACCCGTGGCTGCAAAATAGACAGTGTATCTGCCAACCTTAGTCAGGGCCAGCTTTGTAAAGAGAACTCCAGATGTGTAGAACAATGGTCGCCCTGTATTGTGTTCTACAGCAGGATCCATCAAAGGGTTACGCTTGATGAAGCTCAATACATCCGTTGGAAGACTTGTGGAATCCTCAGCACACTGCAGTGAAGTAAACAGTGGTGAAGAATACAGTTTTGACATGTAGGAAAACAGGTTCAAATGGAAAAATGGAGGATGAGGATTTGTCGAAATTCATTCAGTAATAATCTACTCCCGTTAATTTCGAAAATTAGTTGTTGCAAACTACACATTTGCACGCATTCCAATAGCCAAATAAATATTTTTAATTGATTGAACTTCACAAAAAGTAATTTTCGAGGAAAGAGCACCCAAATGTGTTGTGATACCGTATATCGATGACTGAAAAATGAATGTTAACCCAATAATTATATTTTGGCCTTACAACTTTACATTCGGGTTAAAAAGTTTTAAGCCACAAACACTGGCAATGTTTGCTGTTATATAACCTACATGCTTTCAATAGCGTTACAGCTCAATTGATTCTGCTCTCAATTGCAAGTGATATTTTACCCTTTGCAAAATTGATGAGAATAGCCTTAATCATGCAATAATTGGTTCAACAAAAGAGCGAATAACTCGTTTTTGAAAGCCAGGGTTGCATTTTTATCTACAAAATCATATTTCGCTGCAAACTATTTCAACCACTCACGTCATGTCACCTGACGTAAAATTTCTGCTATGAAAATAAAATCAGTTTTGCGAAAACAGACATGTGCTTTAAATCCCCAATATCATAAAATCAACTTTTGGAATTGTTGATGGTTCACCATCTTAAAGAGTGGCCTTCATACGGTAAGAGAGCATAAATATATCTAAATCAAGTAAAATGGTTTGAGTACAACTTTAAATTTTTGCCGATTTCACAAGATAAGATCCCATTATTCTCTAAATCCTCAAGCTCTGTTAATCAAGTACACCTCAAGTACATCTACCTAATGTCATATTTGGATAAGATTACTACTAAATCTTGGCCAATGGTATGCTACACCTCAACCTCTATTACATCGTCATTTTTCAGTCTATTTGATCTAATAAGCCACTGTAACAGACACTGTTGTTTAGTATCATATTAATCGCCTAATAACACTGGACAAATGTATTACAAGTCACAAGTTACAATCGTGAAAAGCGCAAAACTAAATCGCAAGTGCAAAATACCAAGAGTACAGTATTAAAATTCATTCAGTAATATTTTCAATATTTTGTGACATAGAAATCTCAGAATGGATATCCATTTATCTTCATGATATAATGAGGTATGTACAACAGTAAAACATGGGAAAAGGGTCTAACCTGGCCTGGTCGAGGATCAGGAACATCATGGTATAATGAGGTATGTACAACAGTAAAACATGGGAAAAAGGTCTAACCTGGCCTGGTCGAGGATCAGGAACATCATGATATAATGAGGTATGTACAACAGTAAAACATGGGAAAAAGGTCTAGCCTGGCCTGGTCGAGGATCAGGAACATCATGATATAATGAGGTATGTACAACAGTAAAACATGGGAAAAGGGTCTAACCTGGCCTGGTTGAGGATCAGGAACATCATGATATAATGAGGTATGTACAACAGTAAAACATGGGAAAAAGGTCTAACCTGGCCTGGTCGAGGATCAGGAACATCATGATATAATGAGGTATGTACAACAGTAAAACATGGGAAAAGGGTCTAACCTGGCCTGGTCGAGGATCAGGAACATCATGATATAATGAGGTATGTACAACAATAAAACATGGGAAAAGGGTCTAACCTGGCCTGGTCGAGGATCAGGAACATCATGGTATAATGAGGTATGTACAACAGTAAAACATGGGAAAAAGGTCTAACCTGGCCTGGTCGAGGATCGGGAACATCATGGTATAATGAGGTATGTACAACAGTAAAACATGGGAAAAGGGTCTAACCTGGCCTGGTCGAGGATCGGGAACATCATGGTATAATGAGGTATGTACAACAGTAAAACATGGGAAAAGGGTCTAACCTGGCCTGGTCGAGGATCAGGAACATCATGATATAATGAGGTATGTACAACAGTAAAACATGGGAAAAAGGTCTAACCTGGCCTGGTCGAGGATCAGGAACATCTCTGTCAGCCACTGGCAGCCAATTAGCCCAGGATTCTGTCTGCTCTTTGAAGCTACCCTCATCAAACAGAATCTCCATACTACTAAGGTTAAATGAACAGATTGCAGCGCCTTGAAGACCATTTCTGAAATATAATAGATTTGTTAAGATACATTACAGATGAAAGGTGCCAAACATTGTTATTTGTGCATAAAATTACATCTGAGGATATTGGGGTCATGCCATCCTCATTACAATATACAAGATATTTCAGTTGACAATTAGAAAACAGCAACTCCACAGACTAGCAAATCACACCAACCAAAACATGTTTTGATAAACAGAGCTCCTTTGTTCCTAGATATCAGCATATGAAATTAGAACCAAATCCATTCATTGGCATTTGAATTATCAAAGATTATGTTTTTTATGGAAAATAGTGGCCATTGTGAACTTCAGCTGTCACCTTAAAATTTCTTCTTGGTTAGAACTCCCTTGTCCCAACGCATCAGCATATACCTTGGCTGTAATAAACTCTATTCTGAAACGTAAACAAGCTAACTAGATCCATAATGATAATTGCATTCATGAAGCAAGAAAAATTGATGATGGTGTAAACTCATACACAAGCAAATTACATCGGGCCCTGTATGAGCTCGTACAAGTCTTGAGAATTACGAGTCATTACAGGAAAAAGGAGCACCATCCTTGTACAGGCTCGTATGTACCGAGCTCATTTTTGAGGCCCATATGAGCTCATCCGATGCTCGTGAGTGTTAATTTCAAGGCCCGTACGAGGTCCAACGAGGCCTGTTATCGGATTCTTTTATAGCATAATAAATTAATTGTTTTCATGCTACATGATTCACGCATCTATCTACAACATGCTATGTATGTAAATCAATTCAGATTAATGTTTTTATTCACACATTCGATAACCATAACATTTAATAATTACATCACATTACAATATTGTATTCATATTGTATTATATCATTGTATAGATGTATGTACCACTTTGAATGCTCACAGTTGTTCATATTGTAAAATTAAATATTGGAAGTTATACATCCCTTGGGGTGTCAAAGCCTGTATCATATTGTAAATTTGTAATGAAAAATGAACTATATTTTGAAATTGAAAAAATTGAATTGAATATAAAATTTGAACCAAATTCATCAACTGGTATTTGGGTTATCAAAGATTACGATTTTTCTTCTCAAGCAGAAGAGCTCTCTTATCTCTAGGCTTCAGAATATATAAAATTTAAACCAAATCCTTCCACTGGTAAAACTTACTCATTTGTGGCAAAAACAGCGTGGAAGACTTATTCGTCTATAGTTAACAGATATTCATATAAAATATTGATATCATTATCAATTATTGCTTTAATTACAGAAAATGGCACTAAAACTTACTCATTTGTGGCAAAAACAGCGTGGAAGACTTATTCATCTATAGTTAACAAATATTCATATAAAATATTGATATCATTATCAAGTATTGCTTTAATTATAGAAAATGGCACTAAAACTTACTCATTTGTGGCAAAAACAGCATGGAAGACTTGCTTGTCTGTTGTGAACACGTCATCTGAAATAAAGCAATAGAATACTAATGAAAAGGAAACCCAGAAATTATGTATTCCTAATGGACATTCCTACAGATTAAAATTTTGATATATGAGCCAGGCCACAGGAAAAAGGGTCTTATCACAGATTTTCTCAATATTTTGATTTTTGTTTATCTTTAAAAGCACTAGGAGACCTTTAAAATGAGCCATTGCTTACCAGAAAAGACAGATTGGAATTGAGCACATTTTAATCTTAATCTTGGGCACATTTTTGGCTCTGTAGAACAATTTAAGTTTTTATGATAAGACTGGTTTTCCTATTTGCAATCATCATTTTATTTGTTCCACTCAGTTGGGGTAGCAAAGCTTAGTGCATGGCAAATCAAATGGTGATCAGGGTATATTCTTATTAAAATTTTTATTTACTATTTAAGCATTTTATTCTACTATGATATTTGTAATGTGACTTACTTATCTCATTAAAATAGAAAGGGAACTCCCCAGGTATTGAACAATTCAGTCGAGCCTTCAGAAATGTCGTCCACCTTTTCTCAAGAATATTAGCTCCTCCCTGGTCATTCTAAAACAGATCATTAGATGCAATTTTCTGAATCCAAATAATATGAAAGAAATAAAAGCGTCTGTTTTTATAAGATTATGTTTTGTTTCAACTACATTGTATAGTACTTCACCTTCCTCTGATCATTAATGTACTGGCATAACTATATAAAGCCAAAGTCAGAAGCATAACGTTGAAGATAAGGTTAAAATACAAAAATAAGACTATGCTCAGAGGTGGCTGAAAGAAAAGCCTTAAGAAATACTCACCTTAGTTTATTATATGAGGTATAGGATATGATATATAAGGTATGGGATATGATACATACTCACCTTAGTTTATTATATAAGGTATGGGATATGATACATACTCACCTTGCAAACTCTTGCCACTCTTGAGTAAATAGCTTTTCCACAATTTATATACTCTACAGCAGTTTCACGGAAGAAGAAGTAGACAAAATCCCCTATATCAAAGGACGCAATAAAATCTGGCTCTGAAACAATAATAATAAGTTCAATACCCACATTATTCCACTGTGGAATGACAGAGGTGTTCAACTTGATGGTTTTCGATGTACATATGACCCTCTGAGATCCTCATGGATGGATAATATTAAGATATTAAAGATACTGATATACAGGGTGTCCGGAAAGTAAAGATACAAATGCTCCTATTTTAAGAAATTTGGATCTTTTGAAATGAAACTGCTAGGGATTGTAGAGAAAGAGTATTACAATATATCTACCAACTTTCATCACATATAGTCTTAACGTGTTCAAGTTACGGTTGTTATGGTTACGGCTGTAAGAGGTATGCGGAGCAGTTTCAGAACATCACTAAAATGTCAAAAATTGCTAAAATACAACCATCTGAAACAGTGTTTTTGTTGTATTTTCTATCAATGTTTTGCTTTGTTTGTTTGTGTTATTACTGCCATAGTTTTTTCTTTTATATTCTTTTACATAATGATGTCACTGTTACATAGCAGAACATTTTATGTCACTAACCAGTATAATCAAAGAAATATCATACAAGTTCTTAGAAAAAACAGTCTCTGGATTAGTTGGAAAGTCGATATTGCATCTCCATAATAAGACCGATTCACAAAGCAAAGAAAACAATTCTTACAATGTCTTGACATTAAACCTTTCTATACAATGCCCCATATTCACCTGATATAGCCTTTTTTGACTTCTGCCTAATAACCATCTGAAAGCAACATTTGTAAGAAGTTCAACATACAAAATGAGTCTCAGCTGGAAGTCAATGTTATCAGCAATTTGAGAGATGGACAGCAATGATTTTGTCAAGTCTTTGAATCGCCGGTCAAGATGCACCAAAAATGTTTAGATAATGGGGAAAATATTGAGTATTCAATGAAAGTAGTTGTATGAAGAGATCAAATAATGTTACAGTACTAAAGCTTAAGCCTATGCTGTTGCAGTACATAATTTGATGTAATATAGGAATAGATGGTACAATGCCAAGATGTTATGAGCAGGAAAGAGATTTGTAAAACACATTTGTGACGTTGCTCCACGTACCCTCGACTCCCGTAACCATAACAACCATAACTTTTTCATTTTAAAACTAAAAGTCATTGCAGTTGCAGAATATATTGCTATAATGTCATTCTACATTCTGGAGCAATTTCATCTCATAACAAGTACATCTCTTAAAATGAGAGCATTTTTATCTTTACTTTCCGGACACCCTGTATCTGATTCTGCTTTTAATTAAAGAAAATCTAAAAAAGTGAATTAGTTGATTGATCAAGAGCATTTTAACCCTTAACTGGTTAGGCTATAGAGAATTACAGATCTGCACCCCCTTGTAATCTCAGAAATCAGCAATCATACTAGGGTGTATTTGGTATAGAGAATTACAGATCTGCACCCCCTTGGAATCTCGGAAATTAGCAATCATACTAGGGTGTATTTGGTATAGAGAATTACAGATCTGCACCCCCTTGGAATCTCGGAAATCAGCAATCATACTAGGGTGTATTTGGTATAGAGAATTACAGATCTGCACCCCCTTGGAATCTCGGAAATTAGCAATCATACTAGGGTGTATTTGGTATAGAGAATTACAGATCTGCACCCCCTTGGAATCTCGGAAATTAGCAATCATACTAGGGTGTATTTGGTATCATTCAAAAGGTTGTTCAATTCAAATTACTTTGATGTTATTTACACTGTACAACCATATGGAGCCATTATTAATGAAGAAATTCATATTCTAAGAAAATAGGGGTTCATTGTTTAAAGTCTAAACTACTGACTATTCAGGCATGTCAGTAACTTTAACAAGCTTTCCTCCTAGGGGATTAGAGTCACTAAAACATACCCTGTTCAATTGAGGGAAAATGCCAGAAAACAATGAAAAAAATTATGAAAAAAACCTTGTCCCCCTAATGGGTTATGGGTAAAGATACTGGAGAGGTTAAGCAAATACGGTTTTTCAAAACGTATACGTAAACGCAAAGTACATTGAATCAACATAGGATTGTATCGCTTTAGTCTACTTCAGATACCCGTTCAACTTCAAAGTTGCGTGTTTAGAACGGGAGATTTAGAAATTTCACGTTGCTATCAACGGGAATCATTATACTCATGTCTGTTGAATACTATCCTTGCATTTTTGATTGCGATGCAGAGTATAATTCTTTCTGAAGAAGATGATGTATGTTACGCATGATTTAACTCCAATAATCTTACGAAACGAGCTCATTTAAAATATGTATTAGAAAACCAGCTATTGAACTTCATCAATGGGATACTATGTAATCATTACAAGCTATGGTGTAGTCTAAACAAACACTAGAGCTGAACGGCTATTTATGTGTGAGCTCTACATGTATTTGTATAGGGCCGATTGATAGGTTTAAGTTGCGTTTTGGATTTTATACGGTAGCTTAACCTCTCCACTCATCATACATTTGAACAAATTTCAATTACAGCTGGGATCTTCTGAGCTTATCTTACCATTGAGCCACTCTGTCGCTTGCCCATCCGTGCGGAGAAACTCATAACGTTTCGCCCACCGATCATCTGGTAAAGATGGCCGATATATCAGGGCATCAGTACGTGTGGCATCTGTATAGGTGGCACTGTAGAGACTTGAGATATTCCCTGGATTTCCCGATTCTGATAAACAAAACAAGAAGAAAGGTTTGACTTCAGTTTTTAAAACTTATGTATCCAAAATGAATGCAGTTTCTGTTTCTCAATGTTTTGGGTATACTGTATACTATTTTCAAATATGGCCATATAAGGCCATTTACATATGATATTTATGAACACTTTTTAATTGAGTACCAAGGTTGAACATTAATTCTGTTTTTCTGTTTTTGTTTACAGAAGTAAATATCAAATATTCAAAGGGAAGGATTGTATATGTGATTTATCATGAGTTATAATATATTTTATACCATACTTGGACATGTTACAGGTACATAAAGCCGGTTTTCAAAAGTCATATTTTCATCAGCGGGCAGATATAGCTTGACATCACGCTCCAAGTGGGCAGATATAGTATATCTGCCCGCTACGTCATAATCACAGTTCGCATATGGTTCATTCTTTGTAACGTTCACATAATAATTGTAAATGACAATTGAGAAAGACACAGACGATCGGATTCTGTTTGATGCTTTAAAGAAGGCAAGAAACAGTATGCCCTGTTGATAATCAAACATTCGAGAAAATAAATGTGGATGAATATCCAAAAGGACAAGAAAATACAGCCAAGGCCAAGAAAACAAAACTGGACGTGAATATTCTAAAACAATTCCACAGTTGGTTGCAAAGTTTCTGAACTGTGGCCAATTGAACAATGTGAACCAAATGACTAGATTGGTATGGGATAAACAGATCATCCAATTGTTGGTTCAGGATATTGGGATAATCCCTTGGCCAATATAATACAATAATATCGTATATCTACCCTCGGGACCTTGGGCAGATACATTATATTGGCCTCAGGATAATCTGAATATCCTGAACCTCATATAGGATAATCTCTATGTATTCAATACCTGATGAGGTTTCGGGGACATATCAATTCATGTTTATATTTCTCATTTTATAACTTTGTAAACATCTGGTAATTTACAATTTACAAAGTACCGAAGGAGTATTTGGCCACTAAGGGTGAACTCCGACCCATTGACGATCTGCTGATTATTTCAAATCTCATTAGGTATGGAATACAACAGTTATGCACAGTCGGTTTTGATACAGGAAATATCCCTTGGGATATACGAAATATGTTCCCTTGGTCACTTTGGGCCCTTGGGAAGATATATTGTTTATCCCTCAGGATATTCCCAGTATCCAAAACCTCCCAGTGCATAACCCCTATATATGACAGAGAACAAATTAAGGGAAGTTAGCATATCATCATACAGGACAAAACCTGTATAGAATCTTAACCCATAGGTTAAACAACTGTATAGAATCTCACCCCATAGGTTAAAACTGTATAGAATCTCAACCCATAGGTTAAACAACTGTATAGAATCTCACCCCATAGGTTAAAACTGTATAGAATCTCAACCCATAGGATAAAACCTGTATAGAATCTCATCCCATAGGATAAAACCTGTATATAATCTCATTCCATAGGATGAAACCTGTATAGAATCTCATCCCATAGGATAAAACCTGTATAGAATCTCATCCCATAGGATAAAACCTGTATATAATCTCATTCCATAGGATGAAACCTGTATAGAATCTCATCCCATAGGATAAAACCTGTAAAGAATCTCATCCCATAGGATAAAACCTGTAAAGAATCTCATCCCATAGGATAAAACCTGTAAAGAATCTCATCCCATAGGATAAAACCTGTATAGAATCTCATCCCATAGGATAAAACCTGTAAAGAATCTCATCCCATAGGATAAAACCTGTATAGAATCTCATTCCATAGGATAAAACCTGTAAAGAATCTCATCCCATAGGATAAAGTCTGTATAAAACCTGTATAGAATCTCAATCTACTCACCAACCCAAATGGCAGTGTAGTTATCATTAGGGTCATAGGGACACTTTGCCAGTCCACTCCCTGGACCCTTGTCTAATTTTATGCTTAGATTGCTCTGAAAAACAGAAAGATTTATAGTTAGAATCAATAGATTACTTTATGGGATATAAAGAGGATATCCCATGAGTTTTAAGAGGTATGTTTTTAATCATGAGTGGATAAAAAGTATAGCCTGTCAAATTATGATCACTTATCCCATGGATTTCTGTGATAAACCTGTTATTTCTCAAACCATTGTTTGGGCTAAGTACAGGTCAAATACTATAGGGTCTCACGACATCAGTGATATCCTAGAATTTTTTCTAGCAGGGGGAATTTTCATCAAGTTTCTGACATGACTATAGTTAGTTATTTTTGATATACGACATACATTTAATCAATGATTAAATTATGAATAAATTCCACATTATCTCAGCTCTGTTATGTGCAGTTACAGTTCAAAGGATTTGGGCTACTCAAAACTAGCTATCGCGAGTTAAAATACAACATCATTGCTGTTCTTGCATGGGCACCGTGCATGGAATATAAAAATTGCTGTAATAAAGATAAAATTCTTTTGGCTCCTTGGCTCCAGTTCCACATATAAGTATGTGTTTCTCTAGTGGAACTATTACCCTAATGTGGTTCTTTTATAAAGTACTTACATAAAGTTCAAATTCTTTTGGCTCCCTGGCCCGTTCAACATATAATGTGTTTCTCTAGTGGAACTATTACCCTTATGTGGTTCTTTTATAAAGTACTTACATAAAGTTCAAATTCTTTTGGCTCAAGTTCCACATACAAGTATGTGTTTCTCTAGTGGAACTATTACCCTAATGTGGTTCTTTTATAAAGTACTTACATAAAGTTCAAATTCTTTTATCTCAAGTTCCACATACAAGTATGTGTTTCTCTAGTGGAACTATTACCCTAATGTGGTTCTTTTATAAAGTACTTACATAAAGTTCAAATTCTTTTGGCTCCTTGGCTCCAGTTCCACATTCAAGTATGTGTTTCTCTAGTGAATCTATTACCCTAATGTGGTTCTTTTATAAAGTACTTACATAAAGTTCAAATTCTTTTGGCTCCTTGGCTCCAGTTCCACATACAAGTATGTGTTTCTCTGGTGAATCTATTACCCTAATGTGGTTCTTTTATAAAGTACTTACATAAAGTTCAAATTATTTCGGCTCCTTGGCTCCAGTTCCACATACAAGTATGTGTTTCTCTAGTGAAACTATTACCCTAATGTGGTTCTTTTATAAAGTACTTACATAAAGTTCAAATTCTTTTGGCTCCTTGGCTCCAGTTCCACATACAAGTATGTGTTTCTCTGGTGGAACTATTACCCTAATGTGGTTCTTTTATAAAGTACTTACATAAAGTTCAAATTCTTTTGGCTCCTTGGCTCCAGTTCCACATACAAGTATGTGTTTCTCTGGTGGAACTATTACCCTAATGTGGTTCTTTTATAAAGTACTTACATAAAGTTCAAATTCTTTTGGCTACCTGGCTCCAGTTCCACATACAAGTATGTGTTTCTCTAGTGGAACTATTACCCTAATGTGGTTCTTTTATAAAGTACTTACATAAAGTTCAAATTCTTTTGGCTCCTTGGCTCCAGTTCCACATACAAGTATGTGTTTCTCTAGTGGAACTATTACCCTAATGTGGTTCTTTTATAAAGTACTTACATAAAGTTCAAATTCTTTTGGCTCCTTGGCTCCAGTTCCACATACAAGTATGTGTTTCTCTGGTGGAACTATTACCCTAATGTGGTTCTTTTATAAAGTACTTACATAAAGTTCAAATTCTTTTGGCTCCTTGGCTCCAGTTCCACATACAAGTATGTGTTTCTCTAGTGGAACTATTACCCTAATGTGGTTCTTTTATAAAGTACTTACATAAAGTTCAAATTCTTTTGGCTCCTTGGCTCCAGTTCCACATACAAGTATGTGTTTCTCTGGTGGAACTATTACCCTAATGTGGTTCTTTTATAAAGTACTTACATAAAGTTCAAATTCTTTTGGCTCCTTGGCTCCAGTTCCACATATAAGTATGTGTTTCTTTAGTGAAACTATTACCCTAATGTGGTTCTTTTATAAAGTACTTACATAAAGTTCAAATTCTTTTTGCTCCTTGGCTCCAGTTCCACATACAAGTATGTGTTTCTCTAGTGGAACTATTACCCTAATGTGGTTCTTTTATAAAGTACTTACATAAAGTTCAAATTCTTTTGGCTCCTTGGCTCTAGTTCCACATACAAGTATGTGTTTCTCTAGTGAAACTATTACCCTAATGTGGTTCTTTTATAAAGTACTTACATAAAGTTCAAATTCTTTTGGCTCCTTGGCTCTAGTTCCACATACAAATATGTGTTTCTCTAGTGAAACTATTACCCTAATGTGGTTCTTTTATAAAGTACTTACATAAAGTTCAAATTCTTTTGGCTCCTTGGCTCCAGTTCCACATACAAGTATGTGTTTCTCTAGTGGAACTATTACCCTAATGTGGTTCTTTTATAAAGTACTTACATAAAGTTCAAATTCTTTTGGCTCCTTGGCTCCAGTTCCACATACAAGTATGTGTTTCTCTAGTGGAACTATTACCCTAATGTGGTTCTTTTATAAAGTACTTACATAAAGTTCAAATTCTTTTGGCTCCTTGGCTCCAGTTCCACATACAAGTATGTGTTTCTCTGGTGGAACTATTACCCTAATGTGGTTCTTTTATAAAGTACTTACATAAAGTTCAAATTCTTTTGGCTCCCTGGCTCCAGTTCCACATACAAGTATGTGTTTCTCTAGTGGAACTATTACCCTAATGTGGTTCTTTTATAAAGTACTTACATAAAGTTCAAATTCTTTTATCTCAAGTTCCACATACAAGTATGTGTTTCTCTAGTGGAACTATTACCCTAATGTGGTTCTTTTATAAAGTACTTACATAAAGTTCAAATTCTTTTGGCTCCTTGGCTCCAGTTCCACATACAAGTATGTGTTTCTCTGGTGGAACTATTACCCTAATGTGGTTCTTTTATAAAGTACTTACATAAAGTTCAAATTCTTTTGGCTCCTTGGCTCCAGTTCCACATACAAGTATGTGTTTCTCTAGTGGAACTATTACCCTAATGTGGTTCTTTTATAAAGTACTTACATAAAGTTCAAATTCTTTTGGCTCCTTGGCTCCAGTTCCACATACAAGTATGTGTTTCTCTGGTGAATCTATTACCCTAATGTGGTTCTTTTATAAAGTACTTACATAAAGTTCAAATTCTTTTGGCTCCTTGGCTCCAGTTCCACATACAAGTATGTGTTTCTCTGGTGGAACTATTACCCTAATGTGGTTCTTTTATAAAGTACTTACATAAAGTTCAAATTCTTTTGGCTCCTTGGCTCCAGTTCCACATACAAGTATGTGTTTCTCTGGTGAATCTATTACCCTAATGTGGTTCTTTTATAAAGTACTTACATAAAGTTCAAATTCTTTTATCTCAAGTTCCACATACAAGTATGTGTTTCTCTAGTGGAACTATTACCCTAATGTGGTTCTTTTATAAAGTACTTACATAAAGTTCAAATTCTTTTGGCTCCTTGGCTCCAGTTCCACATACAAGTATGTGTTTCTCTGGTGGAACTATTACCCTAATGTGGTTCTTTTATAAAGTACTTACATAAAGTTCAAATTCTTTTGGCTCCTTGGCTCCAGTTCCACATACAAGTATGTGTTTCTCTAGTGGAACTATTACCCTAATGTGGTTCTTTTATAAAGTACTTACATAAAGTTCAAATTCTTTTGGCTCCTTGGCTCCAGTTCCACATACAAGTATGTGTTTCTCTGGTGAATCTATTACCCTAATGTGGTTCTTTTATAAAGTACTTACATAAAGTTCAAATTCTTTTGGCTCCTTGGCTCCAGTTCCACATACAAGTATGTGTTTCTCTGGTGGAACTATTACCCTAATGTGGTTCTTTTATAAAGTACTTACATAAAGTTCAAATTCTTTTGGCTCCTTGGCTCCAGTTCCACATACAAGTATGTGTTTCTCTGGTGGAACTATTACCCTAATGTGGTTCTTTTATAAAGTACTTACATAAAGTTCAAATTCTTTTGGCTCCTTGGCTCCAGTTCCACATACAAGTATGTGTTTCTCTGGTGAATCTATTACCCTAATGTGGTTCTTTTATAAAGTACTTACATAAAGTTCAAATTCTTTTGGCTCCTTGGCTCCAGTTCCACATACAAGTATGTGTTTCTCTGGTGGAACTATTACCCTAATGTGGTTCTTTTATAAAGTACTTACATAAAGTTCAAATTCTTTTGGCTCCTTGGCTCCAGTTCCACATACAAGTATGTGTTTCTCTGGTGAATCTATTACCCTAATGTGGTTCTTTTATAAAGTACTTACATAAAGTTCAAATTATTTTGGCTCCTTGGCTCCAGTTCCACATACAAGTATGTGTTTCTCTGGTGGAACTATTACCCTAATGTGGTTCTTTTATAAAGTACTTACATAAAGTTCAAATTCTTTTGGCTCCTTGGCTCCAGTTCCACATACAAGTATGTGTTTCTCTAGTGAATCTATTACCCTAATGTGGTTCTTTTATAAAGTACTTACATAAAGTTCAAATTCTTTTGGCTCCTTGGCTCCAGTTCCACATACAAGTATGTGTTTCTCTGGTGGAACTATTACCCTAATGTGGTTCTTTTATAAAGTACTTACATAAAGTTCAAATTCTTTTGGCTCCCTGGCTCCAGTTCCACATACAAGTATGTGTTTCTCTAGTGGAACTATTACCCTAATGTGGTTCTTTTATAAAGTACTTACATAAAGTTCAAATTCTTTTGGCTCCTTGGCTCCAGTTCCACATACAAGTATGTGTTTCTCTAGTGGAACTATTACCCTAATGTGGTTCTTTTATAAAGTACTTACATAAAGTTCAAATTCTTTTGGCTCCTTGGCTCCAGTTCCACATACAAGTATGTGTTTCTCTAGTGAAACTATTACCCTAATGTGGTTCTTTTATAAAGTACTTACATAAAGTTCAAATTCTTTTGGCTCCTTGGCTCCAGTTCCACATACAAGTATGTGTTTCTCTGGTGAATCTATTACCCTAATGTGGTTCTTTTATAAAGTACTTACATAAAGTTCAAATTCTTTTGGCTCCTTGGCTCCAGTTCCACATACAAGTATGTGTTTCTCTGGTGAATCTATTACCCTAATGTGGTTCTTTTATAAAGTACTTACATAAAGTTCAAATTCTTTTGGCTCCTTGGCTCCAGTTCCACATACAAGTATGTGTTTCTCTGGTGGAACTATTACCCTAATGTGGTTCTTTTATAAAGTACTTACATAAAGTTCAAATTCTTTTGGCTCCTTGGCTCCAGTTCCACATATAAGTATGTGTTTCTTTAGTGAAACTATTACCCTAATGTGGTTCTTTTATAAAGTACTTACATAAAGTTCAAATTCTTTTTGCTCCTTGGCTCCTTGGCTCCAGTTCCACATACAAGTATGTGTTTCTCTGGTGGAACTATTACCCTAATGTGGTTCTTTTATAAAGTACTTACATAAAGTTCAAATTCTTTTGGCTCCTTGGCTCCAGTTCCACATACAAGTATGTGTTTCTTTAGTGAAACTATTACCCTAATGTGGTTCTTTTATAAAGTACTTACATAAAGTTCAAATTCTTTTGGCTCCTTGGCTCCAGTTCCACATACAAGTATGTGTTTCTCTGGTGGAACTATTACCCTAATGTGGTTCTTTTATAAAGTACTTACATAAAGTTCAAATTCTTTTGGCTCCTTGGCTCCAGTTCCACATACAAGTATGTGTTTCTCTGGTGGAACTATTACCCTAATGTGGTTCTTTTATAAAGTACTTACATAAAGTTCAAATTCTTTTGGCTCCTTGGCTCCAGTTCCACATATAAGTATGTGTTTCTCTGGTGGAACTATTACCCTAATGTGGTTCTTTTATAAAGTACTTACATAAAGTTCAAATTCTTTTGGCTCCTTGGCTCCAGTTCCACATACAAGTATGTGTTTCTCTGGTGAATCTATTACCCTAATGTGGTTCTTTTATAAAGTACTTACATAAAGTTCAAATTATTTTGGCTCCTTGGCTCCAGTTCCACATACAAGTATGTGTTTCTCTGGTGGAACTATTACCCTAATGTGGTTCTTTTATAAAGTACTTACATAAAGTTCAAATTCTTTTGGCTCCCTGGCTCCAGTTCCACATACAAGTATGTGTTTCTCTAGTGGAACTATTACCCTAATGTGGTTCTTTTATAAAGTACTTACATAAAGTTCAAATTCTTTTGGCTCCTTGGCTCCAGTTCCACATACAAGTATGTGTTTCTCTAGTGGAACTATTACCCTAATGTGGTTCTTTTATAAAGTACTTACATAAAGTTCAAATTCTTTTGGCTCCTTGGCTCCAGTTCCACATACAAGTATGTGTTTCTCTAGTGGAACTATTACCCTAATGTGGTTTTTGCAGTCTTCCTAAAATATAATATATTAAGACATGAGTTAATACTTTTCAACCAATCAAATCGTTATTTACCCTTCACTTCAAATGGTTACCATATCATTCATCATGAGATTCAGGAGTTAATACTTTTTCAAATTTTTCTGAAATCATTCCTAAGCAGAACTTAAATCAGTGTGAAATCTATCAGTTTCATGTCCCTATATATCTTTGTATTTCTGAATGATCAATTTATAAAAATTTGCTTAGATAAAACACCTGATATGTATGCTCAATATTTTTCTTATTTATTAAATAAACAATCATATAGATGGAGCCACCCACCTGTGTCTGACTCCTACAGTCACCTGACGTACTGGACCCAGCTAGGAGGGGGGCAGACTTGGCAAACTGAAAATGAAAATGATGACATCGTTTCAATTATGTCTAACACCAGGCAAGTTAAATGAAAATAACATTCTGGCATGGAAACAGTTGCAAAATTCTTTAAAACATTTGATATTGGTGTAAAGAGCATGAGAAAATTGCCTTCTGCAAACAAAACCCCAGAATGGGCTCATATGACTAATACATGTAAAATAAAACAACAACAAGTGATGTGTCTCTCCATGCACATCACTGCATAATGTTTAACAACTCACATATAATATATATTGAGAAAACCTCAACTTATATAGAAAACAACTCACTTATATGGAGTACAACTCACTTGTATAGAGAATGAATCATTTCTAGCAGTCACTTATATAAAGAAAAACTCACTTATATAGAGAACAACTCTCTTATATGGAGAACAACTCACTTATATGAAGAGCAGCTCGTTTATATGGAGAGAACTCATTTATATGGAAAACAACTCACTTATATGGAGAATAACTCCTTTAAATGGAGAACAACTCATTTAAATGCAGAATGACTCATTTATATGGAGAACAACTCACTTATATGGAGAATGACTCATTTATATGGTGGACAACTCATTTAATGGAGAACAACTCACTTATATGGAGAATGACTCATTTATATGGTGAACAACTCATTTGAATGGAGAACAACTCATTTGAATGGAGAACAACTCACTTATATGGAGAATAACTCCTTTAAATGGAGAACAACTCATTTATATGGAGAATGACTCATTTATATGGAGAACAACTCACTCACCTCATCTGTTCTGTCAGTTATATCTACTAAGTTAAGTCTAAACACCCGCTCCCTGAAAATGTAAATTTGATTCAATAAAACAATATAGAGTTCAATTTGTTAATATCAATTGCATATTACTAAATAATTCTGGAACCTTCTGATGAATATAATCATTTATGTAATATATATATATATGAAATATAAAAGGAAATATATAGAGGTTATTTACTGGAAGGGATTAAATATTGGTTTTATTCAGAGGATCAATATTAAATATATTGTTCCATATTCAATCCTGACCAGCAAATAAACTGTATTTGGAGAATGGAGACACGTGTATGTATTTCATACCTACTGAGGTTCTAGGTACATAACAAGTTGGAATGTATAGTGTATCAGGGAGCATATTGTCAAGAACGGGACCGGGATGGATATACGCTTTATCCACGCTGTATCCATCCCGGTCCTGCTCCTGGAAAAGGGAACTCAAATTACATTTTACTCAATTAACAAAATAAAAATTATATTTCAAACTTATGATTTATATTTTTATTTCACAAACCTAAAAACAAAAAATGTGTACCTTAAAGTTAAAGTATGTTTGGAGGTATTTGGAGGTATAATGTACCTAGAAACTCAGTAGGTATGGAATACATCTGTTATGTACATTGGCTTCAGATACATAGTAGATAGTAAATCCCTCAGAAAATATGTGGTCCCTCGAAAACCTCCCAGAACCCTTATGTATGTCCTGAACATGGCCAAAGTTTACATCTGATATGGTTTTTTCCTCCTCTCCTTTGAAATGAATTAAGCTTACTATAGAAACCCAACTGAATGGAAAGCTTTGTCTGGCAGAAAGGTGAATGCCAGTAGCTACATGAGAAGGATTGGAAGTATGACAATATGATTTTTAATATTTACTGGAAAGTAGTAGTTTCATGAAATAAAACTATAGAAGTAATACATACATTGCCCCTACATAGAGCACATCCAGGACTTCATCCACCACCAGATGGCGATAGTATAGCATACCATCACTGAATCTACGGAGCTCTGAAAATGAACAAATAAATTCTAAATTAGAATCTATAATTGCACATGTTACTAGAATAGGGAGTGTATTCAGAAATAACTGCATTAAATTAATTGCATTTTTTATTATAAAGTTCATTGTCACTGAAAATGTAATTTGGAGATTTAATGTCATCATGATCTTGATTCCCCTATATGGTATATTTAACTCAGTCATCTGCTCTTCATATACACTGCTTTATAACAAAAATGGAACATTGACTAAAAATCAATGTCTCCTATTAATATATCAACCCCTTTCCTACCCTAAACAAGAGGTGGGGTTTGTCTTCACTCTTTATTATTTAGTTAGAGATAACAGAGCAGGAAACATTGCATAGGTATGCAACTAGATGTTGTATGCAACTAGATTTTGTTGGCATGCAAATTGACATTTAACCTTACAATTTATGATCTCAGGAGTAAATCAATTTTCAAAGATTTTTCAACATTGTGTTAATGGAGAGTAAGACCAACCTTTTCAGAAAATAAAAAATCATTTTGAATTGTATCATGCCGACAATTTATTTCACATTCTAACTTCAAAAATGTCACAGAAGCTATTAAGAATCATCAATTACTGAAAACTACAAGAGTCTGAGAGTAGTGTGGGATTTAGGGTGGGATTTAGGGTTCATCTTTAAGTACAGGAAAACATAAAAACATAAATAAAAAGATTAAAGGTTTATCAAAGCCATATAGCTGTTTAATTACATCACATGGGCTTGGAACAGAACTGCTTAATCTGCTACTTTATTTCTACTGATTTCCCAAATGCTCACCTCTTACAAGGAAGTTTAAAAGTGAAAAAGAGTTAAATTCAGCAAGGAATAAAGTAAACTGGTATGTAGTCAACACTCTTAATTAAACAATAAATAAACAGCAGGACATTGGATACTTTATTCAAATAAGAGAAAAATTCTGAAAATAATCATGATCAAAGCAAATATTGCTGCATTTCTAGGTAACTCTAGAAATGGAATCAATGTCTAATAAATAGTTTCTAAACTACATCTGGCTTGTTACAATGGAATTACTGTCTTCCCAGGTCTACCCCTGCGGCCATCTTTGATCAAGTTATCTGATAAACATCAAAACTCAATGAAGTTTTATGTGCCGTTTATAACATTATAACTACAATTATCTAAAAAGTTTGCTGTTTTCTGTTATTTGATTTAGAGTGAGTCATGCTATTGAAGCCATGTGGTACATAGAGAACGATGAAACAATTTATCATCATGATTGTGCCAGCTTAGATCTCTTTTATTATATTGCTAAGGAATATTTCTAGAAGGAAATTCAAAGTCAGACACTGGCACATTGATGTCAAATTTGCAATTTCAAAATCAAATTCAATGAAGAGGTCAATTGCAAATTGAGACAATTTTACAAACTGTTAGGAACTGAAATAAATCCTATTTTAAAACAGGCTAGCACCTGATCAATTTTTGATTGGTCTAAAAAGTTCAACAATATCTCTTTTAATAGTAGAGTGGAGGGATAGACAGATTAACTTGATTAACTTGATGAAAATGTAAAATGAAATAAGACATGTTTGGTTTAAAAAAGAGAGAGAGCAAATGGCACAAACCATGGGGATAATTGATATAAAACATGATTTATCCCTGCATGTTGTAAATTAAATATTATGTCTCAAGTCTTATTCATGCTAGGATTTCCCATCAAGATTTTTTAGTGTCACAATATTACATAAAAAACGGTTGCCTAAATGAGAAACATTAAAAGAGTAGACTATCTTGCTGTTATCATGGACTCTTATACTGAGTCATTCTTTTTGGGTGCATTTTGCCACACTGATATGCAAACGAGATAAAAAACAAAATTTTGTTTATCATATTTTGTCTTCCACTCCACCCCTTCACAGTTCCCTGCTATTTATTGGTTTTACCACTTTTATGAAGTTCACGATAATATAATATATAAAATGTGATTCAAATAGTTTTCATGATTAAGCAATGCTACAAAAATGAAACAAACACAAGTCACCATCCCATTAGATTCACAGAGTAGCTAAAATGTTGTTTTTTATTTTCAGTTATTTCAATTATTTTTTAAATTAAACTGAACATTAAATCATTTTTTACTGAAAATGAAGCAGCAGTTTTGGTTAAGCCTTTAAATCTATAGAGGGAGGAATTTGGGTTAAGCCTTTAAATCTACAGAGGGAGTGATTTTGGTAAGGCCTTTAAAACCACAATGACAATAATGTTTTACTACTCCAGAATTAAAGGTCATGAAATGAGATTACGTAATCATGAAATGAAATTGCATGATATCCTTCATGGTTGCTATGGTAACATAAGTGCCATGCAGCAAACTATGATGCAGCTGGGTCATTAAATAACATTACTACAAATACAGATACGACAACTTATAGAACAATGACATTTTTGTATTTATCTCTAGATAAGCGAATTGCTATATTTTGAGTATGACCCATGGCTTAATTTGATAATGCACTTTGGGCGACTTTTAGGCATGGACCACTTGGGAAATATACCATATCCACTGGGAAATATATCATATCTACTTGCCTCATTACAAAATTTGATCACCAAAAATCACATTGTGCTTATATCTGAAACATTGCAAAATTGTTCTTTTTTCAAAATGCACACATTTCAAATTGATAAAAACTGTAAGATAGTTCAGAATGACAACAATATGCTTACCTTGTGTTGAAGAGCTCTCATTTCGTGTACCCATTTTTTACTTCCGGGTTCTTTCCCATTGAAATATACAGGGTCTGATTTTGAACATTTCAGCTTTATTTGACATTCCTCTTCATGCATATTTGCGCAATAGATAAAAAATATATGTCATTAAGACAAATTGCAAAGCATTTTCACAAATATCTTTGATATATATATATCATGACGTCACTGATTTCATTCCAGGAAGTCAAGATCCTATGATTCGATATGAAATGAGAAGCAAGTTCTCATTTTTATAACATGGGTTGACTTTTATGTTTATATTTACTTGAAGTGTATCAATTGTGAGGGTTGTAACTTGATGTTAGTATAAACTTTATTGTCCCAACAATACGCAACAAGAACATGGTTTTACGGTTGTAAGAATTTGGTATTAATCAACTGACCAATGAAAATTTGTCATTCTCAACACGATGCATTGCAGGAGATATTAATGTTAATGACCATGTTTTTTCTATCTTGTATTAGTCTATATATTATATACATTAGTGTCATGTATTGATTCATCAGAAGACCATGATGGAAAAAGGTTTGGGTCATTTAGATCTTATTAGCTGAAACTGAATAATTTATTTCTGTACACTTATTAATGAAGTTGGGAGAGGGGGTGGGGCTTCCATGTCCCCGGCCCTCTAGCTATGGACACATTGAGCAGAGACATACTTTGAGAGATTTGTAGATGAACGTACCTCTAGGAATGAAAGATGGCGGATCTCTCTGGGCCAGAGACTGCACAAGGCACAACAACAGGCATGATAAACTAATAATATAATCCATTGTGCTGATACGTGCTGATATGTGCTCTTCTTAATTGTATTGCGCTGTTTGGTTCACATCTTCTCTCAATTCGGGATTTGAGTTCTAGCAGCAGACATTTTAACTGAAAAATAATATAAATGAAAATGTTTCAGTTTAAAGAACCAACCTCTTTGAATGACACTTTCAAAAATGACACTTTCAAAAATTCAGAATTCAAATATTTTAATACTGCAAATTGTAACTGAATTGGGTTTAAGGTCATTTTTCACAAATTGCAGTCTTAAAATACAAAATGAATATTAAGATAGCATGGTAAAACCTGAACAATATATGAATAATATATGAAATATATATGAATAATACATGAAAATGACATTGCATTCAAACTATACTGCTGCTGACTCGATAAAAGGCTGGCACTGGCTAGAATTGTCTATGGTTCTAGCCAGGATAAAGATACCAGTTCTTCAACTTGACAATGGGAAGAACTGCTCTACCTTAGTGACTAATATGTCATGATATGACATCTAAAGAGTCAATAAAAGATATATATATATGAGTTAGTTATTTTCAAAAGGTGGAGTGAACTATAGTACCTAGTTTAGTCAATAGAGGGAATAGTTATCTGTCCCCGGGAAAGTTTCCCCGGGAATTGTTACTCCAACTGAGTAATTCAGTCAGTAAATTGGCTTACACTACGATATAATTTCAATCCCAGCATTCTTTTGTATTATGTATGCGTTCTATGTGCAACATTGGACAGTTTATACCAACACGTTTCACTCGTCGGGAGACGTGTACGTTGATAAGTTGCACTTTCAATATTGCAATTATTTGGCCTTTTTAAATTTACAACTTTGACCACATTGGCGGATCCAGATGAAAATCTACGGCCCATGTTTTGAACATTTGACCTAAAAAGGCCAAATTATGGCCAAAATGCCCATTTTCGAGGCCCTATGTAATTTTTGAGAAAAACAATTTTTGGGGCCCTACAATTTTTTTCTAAGCCCAGGAAGGGGGGGGGGGGTATTGGTCTGGATCCGCCAGTGGACCATGTATGATTTCAAAAATAGGCTTATACAGGTAGCTAAATACGATGAACCCCATTAGAACTCCACTATGCCGTTATTTTCATGATTTACGATTTAAGTGCGCTATGTGCATTCGTTTCTCAGAAAATATCGTCAATTACGATTCGCGGATTGACGATTTTTGTTCTCTACGATGTTGTCCACGATTTTCCAAATTCTGTTTCTCGAAGCACTTCGTCAATAAAATCGGACAGCAATATAACAAAAACAGTTTTATTCGCGTCATCTTTGAAAATTACTTTTACTAAAGAGATCATAGAGAGAAGGTGAAATTTGCCTTGATGTTGTATTGTTATTGTGTTGTCCTGTATTGTATAATATGCCACGACAGCCTGGCATCGCAAATCAGTAAACAAAAGTTGAAATAAACATTCTTACTAAATGTGTTCTACAAGTGAAGGTAAAGTTGCACTTTCGACCAGGAAGGCCCCTTTCTTGGTCGCAGACGCATTTAGCGTTAAAATAAATATGAAGACAATATTTTCCAAATACGGTTCTTTTAATTCAGAACATCGATTATGTTAGGCAGATTTTTTTACAAAAGAGTGTCTTCAGGAAACCTAGGACAACTCCGTCTAACACCGCATATCCTTATTCATCAGCTTAGTCGTGATCAACACAGCCTTCTCTCTCGAGCGTTAGATAAAGAATCACCCTATGATCGCATAGAATGAACGGAGGAGGGGATGCCGGAATTTCTGCAAAATTCAACAAATCTGGAAGATTTATTTTTTCAAGAAAAGTTAAAGTTGAAAAGTTAAGAAGTTGAAAGTTGAATTGCAAAATGAATAAGTGCACGGTATGGTAAAATGTGTTAGGTATTCTAGGATTTTTGTTTGAACTGATACGCCTCTAAGATATGAGATCTATAAAAGGGCATATCGTTATCAACGTGTAAAAGTGAAGTTTTTGCTATAAATCACGCAACAATGGTCTACACGACCTGTAATTAATACTTGTAAGGGGCGTTATTATCGCAAAACTTAAATGTCATTTGTGAATACGGTGGTATGATCTTCCATTGTGTGTTTCGTATGGAGAGCACACCCCCATCTTGCTTCACCAAGCTTCGGACCTATCCTCATAGAACGTAGAGATTGCGCGTGGGAACCGACGATGCACGCCCCCCCCCGTCCTTAACATTTCGAACGAATGAAACATTTAGAAACTAAAAAAACGAAGTCTAACGTATAGAACTTTAAAAAGGAAATCACGAAATATTTTCCTTAGACATACAGTTTGGACAATATGAAATAGATAGCAACATAATACAGCGCATCATTGAAAAAGTATACCGTCCTCTTTCTTGTTCATACGAGATTTGAATCAGGCATTTGGAGACCGATGTGCATTGAACTGACATGATAGATAGATAATATTACGGACGCTTTCATGATTTTAATTTACCTACACATACAGCAAACATTTGTTTAAAATAAGCTTTAAGAAGAAGAATGGACAAGCCTTCTAATGGTGTGCTGATAATATGGTCAAATAGTTTATAGAATAACAAAAAATCTACTAAGTGTTGTCAATCTGCGGAAAGGTTTGTTTTAGTTCTGGTAAAATGTAGATAACAGTATGTGTAATAATTAGCTTAATTTCTTAGAGAAGGCCTATGAATGTTTGGATTAATGGATGGGCCCCATGAATTTGTTTATTAGAAAAATAAAGTTACATTTTAATAATCTGCCAAGATTTATTAAAAGTTCCAAAATAGCAGAGATATGTTAATTAAGGCCATCGAAGGGTATGCGTTGATCAAAACTGGTCTTTCTGAGTTCATTTTTAGGAACGATAAAACTTCCTACCAAATACACAACACAATCAGACACTACCAACCACCTCATCCGACTAGGCACAACCTGCTACTCAACCAGCGACAACAGAACACAAATCATTATAGAATTAACATAACGCAATGGGGCACAATCTGACACGAAACCAATGCCAGACAAAAAAAACTTATAGAGATAAAGATTGTCAAACTGATAAAACACAATTAGGCACAACCAATGAAATACAACCAATTCTCATCGGTCAAACTTGAGGTAACACCAGTCACATACATGGACACAGCCAATTGCAAATATCTTACCGGACTGGGCACAACCTGCCAAGCGATCAATTTAATACAATCGCAACACAAACCATTAGAAAACTTACGTTTTACGAACCACAACCTCAACCTATCATTTAACTAAATTATTTAGGCACTACCTGACACAAACCTACCATAACACAACCAGGCTCAACCAAATACTCAATTTATTATACTCGATTAAATAAAACAAAACACAATAAGGCACAACCAATGAAACACAACGAAACGGTGATATCAGTATATCCAACTAATCTTCTCTAATTAGAGATAACAACACAACACAATCGTGGACAACCTGATACATACCCCCATACATACATACCTTAACCTGCGTTAAAATAATTATAATATTGATGGAAAGGTAACTTGACTTTATTTCCAATACCCTGAAATTTTCCCAATTTTTTCCTCGTATACAAAAGGTTGAAAATCGATGATAAACCTACCATTTTCCATTGGTTAACATGGGAATGTCGTTTTTCAAAAATTCATCAAGTTTATCATCAATTTTCGTCCTATTGACACTGAGGAAATTGAGATATTTTGGAGATATTGGAAATAAAGTCAAATTACGTTTCAAGCAATAGTTTAAGTATTTTCATCGCATGTTAAGTAAATAAAAATTCAAAAGTAAAGAGACTTTAAGACGTAGTTCAATGGGGAGCTAAGGTTGCCAAACTTATGGAGGGGAGTGTAAGTTACTAGAGAGGTTAAGCTACACGTATTTGACAAAACTTGAACGTGAACTTCAATGCGCACGCAGATACATGACGTCAGATTTGTTTATTTCCTGTGGGCCAGCGTGAATTTTACAGGTTTTTACATGAGATTATCATATTCGTGCAATTTACAGACGCGTATTCAACAAAACATGAACGTGTACTTCTATGCGCGCGCAGGAAAATGACGTCAGATTAGTCTACTTTCTACATGTAAGCGTGAAAGTTACAGGTTTTTACGTGTAGATGAGTGATTACACGTCGCTCATTACGTGATTGATTTTAGCTATGTTTTAGGATGGCCCGGGGGCCCATATTTGATACAAACACTATTGCTTGTTATATCGGTAAACCCCAAATCCTTTATTGGAAATAAAGAATACATTTTAGAGATTGCGATTGCCTTATCACTACATTTGATTTGCCTGAATCTGAATGACTGGATGGCCTGAATTGATTGCAAATTAAATAATGTCACAATTAATATGACACAAATGGTATATCACATCAAATGTGCAAATATAAAGTATCGATCAATCGATTCAGGTCATGCTTAAAATTAAAAGATTGTACGTTTTTTCATCATTTTTTCTACAAAATGGCTAAAGAAAAATGCTTCAAAAGCAACTTTTACACTTATGAAATCCCATACAACTTTGTAAATCCAAAGATTATACTGTTATGTTTCATTAATTAATAACATATTTGGATAAGATGTACAAAATGTAGGGATGTGTAGGATGCAAATGGATTTTGACGGACACACAAAGACTTCCTGGTGTGGCATCTCTACCCCTGTACACTTTATGGTTGAATATTGGCCCTAATAAGTGGCCCATTCATCAATACAGTGCTGAATATAGGTCAACAAAATACTAATGAACATGTCAACAATAAAAGCAGATTATTCATTTGAAAAATCAGATGAATTTATTTTGTTCATGGGGAGATTATAATGGAGGGCGCACTAGATCATTTAATTGTGGTTGAATATGAAATAAAGCAAAAATAAAAAACAAAATGTTTTGATGCGACTAGATTCGAACCCAGGCCTAACGGACACTAGTCCGAGGTGCTATCCATTACACCATAGAAACATGGCCCTCAGTCACAGGCACCACATGAATATAGCTCCACGTCCACTGACATGGTTTCAGACGTGTAGCTTTAACAGAAAATTTTCTTAAACGTGTACTTGAGCGTG